CTTGCGGTTAAAAAAAGTGTGATTTATTAAACTCACAACAACACTCGACCAGACTTTTAGTCTGTATGTAAGCGAGTATTTTGTGAGGCGCTAATTCCACGTGATTTATTCCACGGGGGGGCGGCAAAGGCAAAGTACACATTATCCCTCTTCTCTTTGCAACAGTAATCTTCGCCCCTTCAGCCCTTAATTCAGAATACTCATTTTTTTTTCTTTCATTATCTCTTTTTATCCAGTCGTGAACTCTCTTTAAACGTTTTTGGCTCGTGCGGTAAATATCAAAGGGGATTAATAATGCGGAGAGAAGAGTATGAAAGAAAAAATGAATAAACGAGAGATGAACGAGGATGAATTTTCGTTGGATCGCTGAGGGCAGTGATGGGCGTCCCGTTGAGACGTCCCAGGCCTTTTTTATATTCATCGGGCATTATTATTTTATCGCTTTGTTAAAAGTATGTGAATTATTTATGCGCAGATGTTAATGGGTATGAGAAGACTCTTTTCCACGGGGAGTTAATGAAAGTGAGCACTTGTCAGGTTGATAAAGTCCTGATTATAGGGGCTCAACTCACCCCACCGACGATTCGACACGCTAAAGGTGTGATTCTCTCTGGATTCTCCTGATCAAACTCGATTACTCGATTCTCCTGGTTCTCCTCATTCTTTGGATCCCCCTGGTGACATTCTCTGTCCCTGACGATGTCCTGTCCATCAATCTCCCCTGGATGACACACACCATCCTCAACACTGGTCTCATCAGTGACCCTATCCGAATCGAGTAAACTCTCCGAGCCGAATCTCCTAGGTGATGTCCTAGTTACAGTCTCCTCGGTATCTCTCGTCAATGACGTTGTCCTAGTCGGTAGATTCTCTTTAATCTGTACAATCACCTCTGATTGATTCCCATCGATTCTCAAGGGCGTCGAGTCATCGAGGTACCACGATGATGAAGTTGAGTGCCTCTTCTGACGACAGCGAGCCGCTTGTTTTCTACTCTGTCCACGTGATGATGAATCCTCACGTGCTGATGACAACGCTCCCTTGCACTTTTTCAGATAGCTCTTGACTTTCTTGGCACGACTTTTCCGATTATCCTGACACCGTGAAAGGTCACTAGCATCAACGAATTCCTCGTCATCCCTCGTCTCATCGAAATTCTTAAACTCCAGATTATCATCAGACTTTCCTGCATCGGAAAACGGGACATCGGACGCCAGAGTCCACGTTTCCTCCTTCTCTCCTGGTACACGACGCTCCGCGGGAATCACCTGGAAACAATAAACCGTTTTTCAATGAGGGGCACTGGGTGGGGGGCAAATCGATTGGTAAATATATATTAAAAAATAGAAAATGACTTTATTGGAACGGTACAATGAGGGACACATTGTGATGCCGTGGGAGCGTGTGTGTGGCGTGTACTTTAAACACGTTTTATCCTCGGTGACGTGCTACGATAAGGACTGTACCCTAGTGCTGCATTGAGTACAAACGGGGAGGAGCTCCAGCGTGTATATGCATTCATCTACTTTACAACATCACCCGCCTTCTAACTGCGCGCACTATCACCGCAATGTCGGGACTTAAAATCCAAAGAGGGAAAGTTGTTTGCCACTCTTCCTCCGAGCCATATATTCTACATGGTTGGGCACGAAATTCCTTTTTTTTTCTTTTCTTTACTTCTTTTTTTTTTTCAGTCACCTCAATTCCACCTTATTCACGGTGCGACCCTTTCAATGCCGCTTTCATTCAAATCTACTTTTTTACACTCAACGATTTCATCAAAGTGCGCTCGCTGATTTTTCATTAGACGGAAAAATTTTCAACGCGCCATTTTATTGCGGGAAATTATAGTGAATTCCTGGGATAAATTATTAATTACAAATTAATTGGGGAGGGATTTTTGGTGGGATAATTATCGGGTGAAGGTTTTCAAAATTATGGGGCATGTAGAAAGGGGAATTATTAAAATAAATTTTTGGGTAAAAATGGAAATTGTTAAAAATTCCGGGATTCAAGGAGATCTCATGGAGAAAGTGTCAGATTTTAGTCCGAAATTTTCAGAGATTCATTTGCTAACAGGGAAAGCTCAGGATTTTTCGCCAACATATTTGAAGTATTTTTTGTTGTCCAGCGGTTTGCGTTAATATCAGGGTCAGCGTTAATCGATGAGGTGAAATGTATTTTTTGTATGGAGTTTTATGTAGTTCAATGGAAGTTTATGAGGCATGCGCAAAGTATCTGAGGTATCGTCACTCGGTTTATTTCTCCGCACCGAGAGACGATGGATGGATTTATCGACTTCACGTGCCTCCCATCTCCACCGGGTCCTCATTTTAAAATTCCCTCCGAACCAGTTACCCTCACCCCACTACCGATTGAAAATATAAATTATTTGAAAAAATCCTCCCCCGATTCAGCCTAAACCGAGTGAAAAAAAAAATAAATATTATACCTTCTTACGTCGCAACAGCTTCCAGTCAAAGTGACTCATGATTTTTCTGTTAACTACCTCAAGTTCTTCTGTACTCAAGTGGAAGTGAAATTTCTTTCTCGTATATTTATGAGGAATCGATCGGCCCCAGAGACATTATGTCTCTTCACAATACACCGATGGAAGAAATGTTCTTGAAAACCGGAATCCGTGTTTACACATCTCTGTACCTCGAGGAGAATGCACTCAGGGTCCAAGTACACCTCAAGAAACCACACACAATGGAGATAAAAGACGATGTGTTATGAATAAAACAAGTGGAAATAAAAATTTATATGGAAAATAGATTTTTTTTAAATCTCGTGGACAATACTGGCACGCGTTTATCCCGGTGACGACGAGGGACGCAGCTCAGAGCACGTACATCCGGTCGAGTTTATTCCGAGAACAATTGATCGGTGCATTTTTTTTTTCTCGCCACACCTTGTCCACCCTCTTCACGGAATTCAAACGAAAATTTGACAATTAAAAGTCACTCGAGTGTAACGACTCGTGCGATCATTGATTCGTCCCCATTACCCAACCGCCTATCGTTTCAAACACTTTAATAGAAATATTTACTCAAGATTACACTCTGACATTTTATCGGGCTTTTTTTCAGGAATAATTTATGGTGTGGACGACTGATTTATGGTCCTGTATTTTTCAACATTAAATTCAACTACAGTGCACACGATGTTTCGGTACAAACTCCAGGTCAGGGACTGTGGCTTCCAGGAGAATTAACCCGGGGCATGCGCCACGTCTCGACCTCACCCCTTGTCTTATCAATTATTCCCCTTATCAAACCCCATTTTATACCCCTCTTAATCATCTCCTCTATCTTTCTCCCCTCCCTGCGAATGATCAAGGCAAAAACCCGGAATTCATATGGAGAAACGCCCATTTGATCCCCGAGGTCTCAATCCCATTGAAAAATTTATTTAAATTCTGGAAATGTTGCAACAATCTGGGAACTAGCGACATCTCCACCGGAAAATATGAATCACTACGATAAAAGGCGGCTATTCCGGTGTGCAAGCGAAACTGCACATTTTTATTACAAATATTTGTTTATAAAAAATTAATTATTTTAAAATATTCTCATGCGTTGTAATAGCATGAAATCGAGTGAAAATTTACTCAACAGACAGGATTTTTAAAAAATTATTTTTGTCAATTAATTTTATTATTTAAATGATATTTTTATATTATTTAAATAGAAATTAATGAGGAGTCATTTGCAAAAACATTTTTGATAAGTTTTTTTTGGAAATCGCGATGCGTCATTCCGGATCATTTCAGTCAGACTTTAATACCGATCATATGACTCCAGGTGATAAGGTCATGTGACCTTGAATACACTCCGCTGACCATAACTCATTTTTTTTGAGTACCCGAGGAATGCAGGAAAATTCACTTTAAAATTGCCTCTCAATTATGACGTAATTTGAACATTCAAATTGTCTGAATGTTCCAGAGAGTAATAATTTTTCGAAAAATAATAATTTTTTAAAATATGAGATCGTCTGCACGCGCATTTATTCAAAGTGTTTGAAATTATTAATAATTAATGATAATTAAAAGCCTCACGGTCATTCGAGATATTTCGAGATATTTCGAGATCAATTTTCTTTCTCC